TCTACACTTTCTGAAAAGGCAAGCTGGATTGACAACATACAAAATTATGCATATTGCCAATTGGATCAAACAGGCTAATGAAGATCTTAGCATAGTATTGTTTGACATTGAAAGTCACAGCATTCTGGTAATTGCCTCCGATATAATGCCTCAACACTCAAGAACGACTTGCCTCATCTAGAGATAGAGGACTGAATTCTTCATGAGGAGAAAATATTAAGACCATGTCTGTTGCTTCCAAAATTGTTCAGAAATCAGGTTTGGCTGCAGACATATACAGTCACAAGCCCAGGACAAAGATATCGACATGCCTAGGGTCCTATGCGACCGTACTTCAGGTGGTAATCTACGCCGAATAGCAATAATAAACAAAACATATGAGTCAATAAAATATTTTCGGCCAAGAGACTTGGAAGCATTTGGCTCTCATTATCAAGGTTCATGTTTAGTAAGAAAATTCATTAGAGGAGAAAATGAGGTGTTGAAGCCACACTGGCCTGGAAGGGGATGAAGGTTTTTGTCAGACCAGAACCTGTCATTGGCAATTATCAAACCCATCAGCTGAATTACTATTTAGAATGCGAAAAGAGTTTCATACTTTTGGCAAAATAATTTTGGATGACCTACGTTTGAATCATCATACTGTCGGAAGGTTCGTCGACCTGTATGTATATCTGTTTGGAAGATGATAAAACAACAGGGCATATATATTTTTACTTGCTCCGTATCAAATTTGGGCGGAATTTTACTCTCATCATCTGACTTGAAAAATAATCCACCAAACAATCGACTTCGTTAGGAAGGTGGATTTATTTGGTAGAGTTCAGATTGATGTGAGTCACAATAAAACCTTGATGGATGCAGTAAAAGGTTTAATGGATCGATTTACTTTTGACCCAACCCGGTTCCTCTTCTTAACGATAACACCTCCTGTAATATCTTCAACCAAATGCGTATAGAGCTCGTTTCAACTTCAAGGAAACACATTCACAAATCATCAGAACACAGGTTTTTAATTTCTTCTTGAGAATTCAAGTAGGAAATACATGAATCTGAAATTTTCACTGCATTATATTTTATGTTCGGGAAAGGGAGCCTGTTTCAAACTCTTCTTTCGACAAATAAAAGTTGTTCATTATGATGATTTTCAATTAAATTAGTATGAACACGTCTGAGGAAGCTATTGTATGGTGAAACATGTGTTGCGATATTGTGAACTGTTTGGTGAAGATCTCACAGTATTACTTGAATATATATCAATTACATTTTTTTTAAATTAGATTACTTACTAGACCAACTAAACTGTATCTATCGATTTCACTATACAATATAAAACAAAGGCTCTTTCTGCTGTCCCTATGTATGTTTAGATCTTTAAAACTACGCAACGGATTTTGATGCGGATTTTTAATAGGTATAGTGATTCAAGAGGAAGGTTCATGTGTGAATCACTTGCTTAATATAGTAGGGAAACACTGATAATTTCGAAGGTTTCTAATGTGATGTCTTAAATCCTAAATCAACACATTGTTCGCGCTTACTTTGCAAATGCTGGCTGAACCCTACAATATAGGTAGATTAAAAAAAGTACTACAGTATTGTACACCTTAAAAACGTCACCCATAATATATGTCTTAGAGATAACCTACAATAACCATTTTTTATCCTCGAGCGATTTTATGCAATACAGCAGTAATCCAATTAAGTAGTAAGTGTTAGGAATCACCTGTTAAAATATAAGACCTCGTTAATCCTTAGCTCGCACAAGTTTCACTTCTGAAGGTTGTCGTTCGTAGGGATGGGACAGCTGGTTAACGGAAAAACAGATTTTAAACAGATTTTTTTTTATACATCAAATGTATTCAGTATAAATCAGTATGGCCCCTTTACAACACGTAACTAAAATGGATAGTTTGAGATATTATAGATTTTAAATGCAAAGACACAGCGGTTGCGGCGGTACCGGCCGGGAGACCGGTGGCGCGTGCTTATAAATAGCTCGTCGAAGGCCTCAGCTCGCCTTATGGCACTTTATGATCAGCAGCGATCGCACGAGTTTATATGTATATGTAGTATCGGCATTGTACCCGTGCCGATCCAGGACGAGTCGCTAGTGTAATATAATCCACACGTTTGATCAAATGAAGAAACGTAGAAAAATGATCGATTTTCATTTCTATTTCAATAAAGGGAAACTGTGTATGAGGGGTAATTTTTGTTGATGAAAATGGTTTTATTTCCTGAATCTATTTCTATCTATTTCAATTTCATTTTCTACCGCTCTTCGATATGAAAAACCTCAAAAATCAAAACTGGAACGACATGAAAATTAACAAGGTCCTACCTTTTAACATGCGTATCCTAAGCATGACTGAAAGATATCGCGGCTCAAAAACCGGTCACCCGTCTAAATGAAAAATTCAGACAGCCACATTTTTTTAAGCAAAATTTGGACAGCTTCCATCACCTCAGAATTCCGACTGTAGTTTTATTTGTGTGAACTGACATGAATTAATGATTCAAAAACCAAGTCTCGAAAGCTATCTCCAACAAAAAATTTAGTTTTACTCAAGACTACTTGATGTTTTGATGATTTAACGAAGACACCACCGTAAAGATGAATGTCCAATGCTACAGAGGAATTATTGCAGTGGACTGCTACACTGGAAGTAATGATGATATGGTGCATTTGGTGAATTCTGATGACAGGATCAAATGAAAACAAAATAAAATCAAATGTAATTGAACGATGTTTTGTAAAGACAAACGGTAAAATTGTAACTGTGTTTTAACAATGATTTCTTCAAGATCCAAGAATTTTCGTAATTGTGCTTTCATTTGGATTAAACCTGCTATTTTTTTATGATATATGAGAAATACAATATTGATGATAACATTAACAAATCAAATGATCATTCGGTTCTACCTGTCAGAAAATATTTTAGGTTCTCAGTATATTGAAAGCTATATTGAAGCAACGTTGGCATAAATTTTAAGTCGATTACCGAACACATTTATATTAGCCCTAAACGTTTGAATTTAGATAGGTATTTCCTTAAGCGGTCAATGAATATTAATAAGACAAGAATACCTTCAAAACCTCTAACCAACAATTGCCAGTAATCAACTGACCGTTAGGACCCATGTCTTCGTTCTTCCTGAAAAAAAATATGTTTGTGCCATAAGGTGACCACTATTACCGTGCGAACGAGGTAAAGGGTTGGACAATCTTGACTTCTCAACTCTACCCTTACCCCCTTTGCCTTTCGATAAAAAACTGTCCTGTTCGGTACAGGTAGCAGTGGACACGCGTCATAGTTTACTATCAGTGGCAAAAGGGTTATTAAAAGAAGATGCGTCACTCGTTTAAGAATTGAAGTCCACGTACCTCATTCAGATAGCTGAATATGGTAATTATATTTGATGGCACGCGATCTCTTTTTTATATATAGTTGGAATAATGTAAATTTGAAGGGTCATTGTTGAAAAGGAATTTTTGAATCCAGTTAAAAATAATAATCATCATTACCTCATAAGTTTGACGTTCAAGGTGAGATTACACTTCATTTATCTACATGTTTCGTTATTATTTTAATACCAACTGAACTCGAGAAATTTTTGAAATTTTTATGGAAAATTATTCGTACCGGCTGATTATTGAAATTGTAATCAATGATCTTTTCCGGAATGTGTTTGATAGCCCAGTTTGGATTTTACTGGATTCCACGGTCTTGTGAATGTTTTATGTGATTTCATTTTTCATTTCGATTTGAAATTCAATAGAATTTTTGCGGAAAATTATGCCTACTGAATGAATAGGTTCGTCTATATGGCTAACAAACTGCCCAATCCTCAATCTAGGTTTTTCGTTGCATCATTCCTATGAACATACACTTACAATTGAGTGATAATGTTCAAGTCCCTATGTTACAAAACAAAAAAATCAAATCATATTCGTCGCAAATTGATGAATAGCAAACGGGTAATGTTTGAATCAAACAGGATTAATAAAATATTTTTTGTGTTGCGTATTACTCCTAACTCATCCGTTCACTAATTTCGAATAAAAAAAAATCTCTCTATAGCTGTATTATTCAAAACATGAAGTATAAAATCTGCATAAATAAAAAACACCTATCTGAATTTCTTAACTTTTGTTTACATATTATATGTATGTGTATCAATTCTATCAGTATATACCTATTGAGTTTGGTCAAATTTCATTCATATACCGATTCATATCAGAAGCTATATCAAAAATACAGAAAATGGGATAATGTTAATTTTGATCACTTACAAATTATTTCTAGAAATCTAATTTTGATTTGTTTACTAAATCTGAGGAAGCAAGAGAGAACATGACAAATTGTTGGTAATTAAAATTATTATGATTTTTTTGGTAAGAAATTTATCAAAACTTGGAAGCCACGGTTTTCCCCCACTCACAACACAAACACAAAAACAACTACCAATGACATTATCGGAAAACACTTGTCACTCGCCACCTGCAGAATTATTCCAGTAACTACCTGTTAAATTCACACTTTGAATCCCAACACATGAAAAAGAAACCAATTAAAATATATCAACATTAGTCGATGTGAACTCTGACGAAATCTGAAGAGAACTGAAAGAAACTGCAAGACGAAAAACGCGCGCAAGTCTACTTGCTAAAAAATCATTAAAACTTTTTGTTATTAGAGCTTAAAGAGGTATTACTCTGTCTGGCATGACGCCGCGAATAATTAATTGAAATTTGAGGTCACGTGGAAGTGCAGAAGCGTGAGTAATGTTTTTTCTCCCTTCTTGTACTATTTTCTTTCCAGGAGATATTCAGATATATATCAATTATTAAATACTTGACTTGAGTTGGATGTTTGTTTTATGCTGGTTGAATGAGCCGCGATTAGAAATAAAAAATAATGAATATATAGTAGCAAATATATTTTTTGCCATCTTGACAGTTAGGTAATCACGGTTAGTAAAGAAATACAACTCACCTTGTGCAATCCGAACGGCTGGCATTTTGATTCTCATTTTGGAAATTTTTCGAATGTCCTTTTTACCGAGAAAATCAGCTGTCCATTATAAAACAAAAATCCTTTTCACTAAATCATTTCCACCAAGTCAACACTACACCGAAGAAGTCCACAAACTCAACAAAGTTCAAACACATTTAACAGAAAACGAAAAATATTTTTATCACAAAGGGCATTTATTGGTATCGGCTGAGTCAAAGGGTCAAAATATGATCTCGTACGTATGTCCATAAGATCTTCCTGGACCAAGATGCTGTGTGGTCACAGGTCCACACGCGTGTGTTCTACGGCTAGCTTGTCAGGCGATTCTCGGCCGTCCCATCGCCCATCGTCGAGTAAGATCGCATGTGTTCGTGGCTACTCACTAGCCAGCGGTCCTAAGCACCCCATGTAGAAGGGGATGATGCGCCGCGCATATGATACCGGAGTGGGGATTTTGCCCGCTGGCCTCCCGGATACGATATTCCGGTCGGCTCCGGTGTGTATGCTATATGTGATAAAACGCTTGTTTCGCGAAGCACTACTTGACAAAGTTTGCCTCGAGATTTATTGCTTCACAAACTGACTGGAATTATATTGAAAGTCTCAAGAAAATCTATTTCTTTTTTCACTATCCAAATGAACTGTTGTATATACTAAATTTCGCTAAACGTTTTCCTATGAAGTAGTAAAAAAAAACAAGGTTGTTCAACTACATACTTCTTGATTTAATTAATAGTGAAATTGACTAGCAAATAAAATTTTATTAACATTTTAAGGGACTTCCACCTTTCATTATCTGAAAAAAATAAGATGTTTTCTCACTTTTATTCGTTTTATTTTCACCTCATGTCAAAAGAAATTAGAAATATGTGAAAGTTGTGACTTTTGAAATACTCGATTCAATACAAGGTGTTCTTCGATATCAGTCAATTCAACTCTGCAACATTTCATGTCTTTTTTTGAGACTGGTAGCCAAGTATATACAATTAATTTCTGACAAGCTGCAAGATATAACAATGTTTCAGGTGTAGTGCGACTTATTTCGTTTTTACGTTCTTTCACAAAAAATCAGAAGAACTTGAGTCGGGTGACCGAGGTGGTCAATCAGCTGAATCAAAACCTTTATCCTATTTAGCGGCCGCTAAATCTGTCGTTTGAATTGTTGAGCACCGTCTTGTTGAATCATAATTTTCCCTTCAACGAATGAATGGCATATTACCTGCGAAATTTACAGAAAAAAAAGATCGGAAGGAAATTTATTCAAATCAGTCCACTGTAAGCCCAGTAACAACAATTGTGGCGAAAAACTACATCTCTCAGAAAGAAAGAAGGTACACTCGTCCAGAAAACAAATTAAAAAAAGTATCGTTTTCCCCAACTCGTTCACTCAAAATTTCAAAAAGTTACATGTAACTATCAAATAGTTTTCATTTGGTTCTTATACTAATCAAATCTTACACATGTGGATCAGTTGTAAGAGGGTAAGATTGAAAAAACACTGATAATTTAAAAAATATAAAGGATTGGGGCACATACATTGAGAGGTGTATGCGATATTCCTGTCAAAATCAGTCTGTCTCTGTTCCCTTTCTCTATTAGCGCATGAGACTTGTTTGTATGAGAGGAGTAATTTTGTTTTGCCTACATACGTGAATATTTTAATTGTTGTTTCTTGCTTTTCAATTGCAAACTATAGTTTGCAATTGAAAAGTTACGTTTATTATAATTTTCCATTCAGCAACTTTATTTACTGGCGCTCTTACGCAACCGAATATTTCGTTCTGATTATATCATTAATATTATCAATAATTTCATCATTTGATTCAGTTTTATTCCATTTGTTGTTCCATAGATGTCGTACCATTTCAGACAACGGGATTTGGGACTTGTAACATTTACCAAGAAACTTTTTCACTTTATTGATTTTATTTTATTGGAAGTTTTGACGAAACTTTTTCAAAATAATGCCTCAGGTACGGTTGTGAAAAATTTTTCAGAGTTGGATGAAACATATCAAACAACCTCATTTCAATGGACCCTATGTATTCCAAAAAAATAGCGCTGTATTGTTGATTAAAAAAAAATATATGTTTCCGTTAATTAGCTATCTCACCCCTACGAACGACAACCCTCAGAAGTCGAAACTTGTGCGAGCTAATGACTACCGAGGTCTTACCTTTTAACGTGTGATTCCTAACACGGGTTGGACGATAGCAAGTGAAAATCGAACGTTCAGTCTGGAGCTTGAACCATCGACTCACATATCAGCCGATTGACTAAGTGAACAAAGCACCCACGTCGAACCGCCCGGCTATACCGACCGACTTCAAGATCTCAAGAAAACGAGTTCTATAGAGGGGAGTGATGTATCACCATATGTAGAACTGAAGAAAGGTATGTCTTTTGGGAAATCAGCTGAAAAACACAATTTCAATCATATGTTACTATACTTCCATTTTGTGCATTTAGAAACTTGAGTTTCTAACAGCTTAACCTTGCCACTATGTGTTACTTATACTTCGTTATAAATGACGATGAAAATGTAATACGCAGCATAAGAAACATTTTCACAAATGTACAAGAAATCATTTTAGCGAGGTATTGAATGCTCTGTGTTGGAATTTATTTTGGGTTAACGTCAAAAGAAGTGAAAAAATCAAGTTGCAAACCAACCATTGAATATAACTCAATCGACCAATTTTCTGGATGTAGAAGAAGATTGCAGAAGAGGATTGGTTTACCACATTCATAAATAGAGATATGTCTATAACTTTTCAGAAAAACGACTAGCTTGTCAAAGCGCCATGGTACGATTGAATACAATGTACCTACCTACATTGCACAGGTTGTGATCCTCATCATTTGTAACTGATTTTGTGCCTGACTAATCAATTTAGGATTTTGATCCTCATTATTTGATTTGCTTCGTGCGAAAGGATATATTTTCATTACTACTAGATTAATGTTGATCTTGTGTATCGCTATTCGAATGGTTTCATTACAAATGAGTTATTTACATTCCTATTGACCAATTCTAGAAGTTATACTAAAGCCAGATTCGTCTTCCAGAGATTTATATGAGTAGATCTCAGGTTTTATCTTGGCTTTGTGTTTTTATGGATCTGGTTAAACCCATGATATATTTTCATCTGACTGAACTGTTGAACTTCTAAGTTGGGTTTTGGACTCGATGTAACTTAGTTGCTCCTTTACAATGAAAGCTGCACAGAGAGCCAGATAACGATTTCCTCTTCAGCGATCGATGTCGAAGCCCAGTTCAGGCAATTACTTTGTTCGCGTAGAGGCACTCATTGTTATTTGACTTATCAGAGTTTTTTTGAGTTTTCTGTCAATTTTAAAGAAAATCATTCTCAATCATTGGAACGCCATCAGTACTTATCGGTTGTTCAAGTCGTATCCACATAATGCTAACTTAGATGCAGCAGTTTTGTTCTGGTAAGGTAAAAGTGTTTTCAATAGATTGAAGTTTTGGTGTATCCTAAGTTTTTTTTACATTTTTTATGAGGAAAGAAAGGGTGAATGAAGAATACAGAACATTGAAACACTTGTGTCGTTTGTTTTCCAGTATATCAATACGTATAAGTATACTTATATACTTTAGCTGAACATCTGGAAAAAATCTTCAAGTACTTGATAAGTTGTTCCAACCATATTGCTTTCATTTTGATTAAATTAAACTTATAATGTATCAATGTATCAATAAGGTTTAATGAAGACTAGTGGTAAATTACACGTGCACAATTATTCGTGAAAAAAATTGTTTCGGAATATAAACTGAGTGATGAAATAATTTGAAAAAATAATTATCTGAAGAAAAGTCTTTCCTGTATCTATTGCAACGCTGCAAGTTTTTTATTCTAGTCGTCCGCTATTGAAATTTTCGAGACTGAATTTCTTTGACAAAAGTCATTTTGTGGCCAAAATATGAAGTAGCCGACAGTAACAACTTTCAAATTTGTAGGGCGAAGTTACCAGGCGTTTCCAATACAGTAATATTAGACTGCATGGATGACACGTATATAATGTTTTGTAAGGTTCTTCTGAGAGGTAATCGGGATTCAAGGTCAGAATTAACTGTGTTCCTCTAGTGTTCATTTTGAAAAACACACTCACAGATCTCTCTAAGAAATCTGAAATAGTGTTCGTCCATCACGATATGAAGCAGAAAATTTCACATATTTAATTTTCGACAAAACGCAATACCGTTGGTGTACTTTGATATATAGCCAATATGATCAACGGAAATAATGATATTTATTTCACTTTCACTTTCATTTACCTCAGACACTGACTCACTTCTGAATTTTCAGAGATTACATATCAAACACTATTTCAATCTGTCTCAAAATGGAAATATTTTTGAGAAAGATTACTTTTTTGGGAAGCTTACCACTACTTCATCATATTGCAGATATTTTATTTCTTCCGTTGATTGAAAGTTCCCGACTTTTCTTACTGATGGAGGAGTAGAAAGCTTCCCAAAAGAGTAGTGTCTCCTAAAAATATTCACCACATAGTTGCAAATCACTGATAAATTAGAACTATCGATTTTCAGTACTTAATATTCGTAAGACAAGTGAAAAAAGAGCAAACGTTTTACATGAAATTGAAACATTTGGTTCACCAATGAATTTCGTTTGTTTTTTGAATATGATTAATCAGATAAAACAAAAAAATTGTTTGACTAAAATGATACTTGGTTTGAATACATGCATAAAGAAACTATAAGCATTAATGGAAATATAATTCTTCATTCACATATTTCGAAATTATGTAAACATAGTAGTGAACTTTTTATCAGGCTGTACCTGTGCCGAGTCCACCAGTGTAGGTAAAAGATAAGTATATCAGGCAAACAAAATGCGATAACCTAGGAAAACATAGATAAGACTGAATTGTGACCATAGGGAGTTTATATTATGTTCCACATAGCTCATGTAAGAAGATATAAAATATGAATGTATACAGGTCTATCAAAAAGTAAGAATATCACAAAATGGGGTACAATTCTCAGCAGTTCGATCCGTGTTTGAGTTCGGCTTTGAATATCAACGAAATTCCTGTAATGTAATCGTAAAAATAAAAAGAAACGATAAAATTCAATTTCAAGAGACGCGAAATCGTCATCCAAATGATTATTGTCTCATATTATTTCAACCAAATAACAATATTTGATGGATATTCTGATGTAGACCTAATTTGGGAGTTCTAAATTAAAAATGAAATTGTGTTACATCCCTGCATTCAAGTAATATTTCCTTAATGCCTTTTTAAATGAGGGTTGAATTCTGTCTACTTCAGCAAATGTTTCAAAGTGGTATTGGATGGAAACTAAATAAAGTAATCA